GAGTTTCTTTCTTCTCTTTCAAGAAATGAAATAAATCATTCTTAAAACTGATATAATCAAAAAAGAACACTTTATAGGATTTGCACTTAAAAAAAAAAAAAAAAGTTGGCTTTGAATTCCAAAACACACTACAAAACAACCTCAAATATCTCAGGCTTGATCCAACAACCATTAAATCACTAGGAGCACCACCATTGTCTTCAAGAGGCACTGAAACAGGCCCTCAGAGCAACAGACCTTCAGCAGCATGGTTGTATTCATATTAAAGTAGACACTTTATGGCAGTATTCATGAAGAGATTGACAAATAAGAAAAAAAAAAAACACTGATCTATGAAAGTGAGGCCTCCAAATAGCCAGAAAAATACCCCATTAGTAAAAGGTTAACTTTTGGTTGAATCCATCATTGTTTTCAACAACCAAAACAGCAGACACTGGTTTCCTACCTGGCTCTGCTTGTTCCTAATTCTAAACTAGTTTACCCAACACCTGCTGGAAACAACAGCCAAAGATATTAGCTAGAAAGTTTATGGCACATCATGCTACCTTTCAGAGACAGGAAAGAAGACTTTTTATCGTTGTATACCATTCCAAAGCGTATGTAAGGCATTCTTATACTTGCAGTACAGTTAAAACCCACTCCAACCGAGCTGTGTGCCCATTCTTGCACAGAAAACTTAAACTTAAAAAAGAAAAGCCATCATCTATTGGAAGATGTAAGCACTCACCACTTACTATAAAAGAAAAAATCACCATACCCTTGAAACATTTTTGGCCAAAAGATGTCTGGGCATTATGAAGAGATCCTTTTATTGCAAAACGGAATCATGAAGGAACTTCTCAGAACAGAGAGGTCCTCCTGAGTTACAACGTACACCCCAAGGCCAAGGCCTTGCTTATTAGATGCACAGCATATCACAGGAGGCTAAAAGGATTCACATAGCACAAGGCACGCTGATCTGGGAAATGAAAGGATGGAGAGCCAATGTCACAATAACCACAGTGTTGGGGGAGGGAGCAGCCCCCCCCCCCAAAAAAAAAAAAAACACAATTCAGGGTTCACCAATTCAAAAAGGAAGCTATTCTATTTTGCTGGATCAGATAGTCATTCACAATCTAGCCACCCAAAACCTCCACTTCATTCACGTTGTGAACAGCACAAACTTTTGTGTTCTTTTGTTCCTGAATCAATCTCTTCTGCAGTGAGCAAAAGCGTGGGTGTTGCACTGGGACAAGCAGCAGAACTTCTGCTAATGCAGCTACTGAATATTCAGTAGTAGGGATAGAATGAGGACACCGTTAAATTTGTTAAGTGGCAGCTTTCACTGTGTTTACAACATCCAAGGGGTGTGTGCATGCACATCTGCGCGAAAATCTGCCACCCGCCCCAACACACACACACATATGCGCAAGACAATCTGTCTTGAGATGAAAAAAGCCGTTCTCCTTCAGGAATCTGACCTGAAGGAGGTGGATTTGGAAAAATAAGAAAGCTAAGGGTGGTACGCACCTCTGCTACCCCTTACCCACTCTTCCAGGGAGGGTTATGCTCCTCCTTTCCTCTCTGCAGGGACTACTTAATGTTTTGCTAGAAGCAGCTCCTTACAGGGCTACTTTTTTCACCACTGTATGAGATGGTCAGACGGGCTGAAAACTGCAGCCACTCTGAGCTGCTTCACAAGTGGTTCCCCAGGACATGTATCAGAAGAGCAGAAGAGAGAAATGAGTGGAAGGAGGCAGCCGAGGCCAGAACCTCTGTAGACATCTGTTTCCCCTCCCCCCCCCTTTTTTTTTTGTCTCCTCCTTTTTAATCCTTTACATGGAAGTCAGAGCCCTTAGATAGGGCAAAATTCACCTCTGCAGAAAGGGCTGGCAGAGAGGTAAATATGATCCACAGCGTGCATCTGAATGAACATATCTGTGGAAATATTCAATTATTAAAAAGAAATAAAAGAAAAAAAGTGATCATTAAGTAGTATGCTTTCAGGTTTTCACATGCATCTCTTCTAATTTCGAAAGATTAAATAATTTTTTTCTTTTAGGCAGTGATTTAAAAATAAATGGCTAAATTATAATTAGCGCCAAAAAATAAAAAAGCAAATGAGTCCTCTTATGGCTTTGATCTCCCTTGTGAAGGGTAAAAGTAGAAGAGTATTGCCACACTTAAAAAAAATATATGTATATATTCAGCACTGACAGACATACTATTTTTTCCTTTGTTTGTGACTGTGGGTCTTTGCAGTACTTATTAAGGAACCCAAGCACGTTCGGACGCCAGCAAGGTGCAGCAGAGACCCTGCTGCTTCTTTCAACTCCTCATCAATTTCTTGACATAAATCCTTGAGTGCTTTGTTGCTAGGCTGACTTTTGTCAGAGGTATCTACACAAGGTTGTGATGCATAGCCGCTATCTCCAAGAGGATCATCTTCATAGTCAACGTCTGTATCCACTTCACTGTGAAACCCTTCACTGCCATCGCTTCCAGCATGGCTGTTCTTGGAGATAAATTCATACACCTCATCAACAGAGGACAAGGAAGACACACTGGATCTAGATGCACAGCGCTGTGAACCCATGCTGCTAGCACTGTAATTGTGATCCTCCTTTGGATCAATATTGGTGGCTGCAGAATCACTTTCTTGTAAATTTATGGAACTGGGAGAATTAAATGCACTGCTGTAACTCCTCTTCTTAGGTGTCTTCAGAGGTTGAGGTTTCTCACCTATTAAAAACAAAATCCGTTAGTAAGCAACTATTCCCATGAGATTACGTGCTAAAATGCCACACTTTGGCAGGCTGACTGCAAAGGGTAAGTTCAACGTGAACACACACGAGTCGTGAAATCTTACACACGGCAGAGAACAACGGTTTTCAGCTAATCACAAAAAGAAGTTGGAGAAACAGAGAAGCAGCTAAGAAGATGAGCATCTAACAAAGAAGAGGCAGGGGAAAAACTTTGCAAAAAACCCCAAATTAACAGAAAAAAAGGAGATTCTATAAAACTCTAATGTTAACAGAAAGAATCAACAAAACAGAATGGCTCTTGACTGGTCTTACCAGTAAGCTAGACCGTATTCCATCACTGAAACTTTAGAGAAACATTTAGCTACTGGGTAGAGAAACAGCAGAGTAAAACGGCACATGCTTACAGTCTAACATCCCTTGTTCAATGGAAGTATTTAACAGCATCATTGCAGTAGCAGCATCGATATCAGATTCTGTGAAGAAAAAAGCAGTAAAATATTAGATCTTGGGTAAGCCTAGCAAAACAAGGTCCCTAGAACATAGAAAGAATGTGTATCTACATATAATGGCCTGCAGTAAAAAGAAAGAAATGCAAGAATCCAGACAGAGGATGACTCAAATATAACCAAAAATTAAGACACACCAGACATAAGTGGGATCTTATGAGCAATATGGTTGGTTACAGAACAGTCATGTATTTTAAGTATGATAACCTTATAAAAGCTGATTTCTTACATTGCACTTACCAAGCTGAAGCCAAGAATCCGCAATATTAATTAGATTTGCATCTGATGATGTTGTTATTGTATTCATCAACAACTGGGTTTTATTTGTAACAGTTTGAAGGAAAGGATTACACATAGGGCAAAGCAAAGCACCTAATCAACTTCATATCCTCATTCTATGAATACGCAAGCCTGAAGAACAAATGTGTCAGTAAAACACAGCACTAATTCGGCACGTATCTTTTCTCTAACTGCAGCAGAAAGTGCTTTCTTCACCATATTTTCTCACTAACAAGTCAAATAGTAAAAATAGAGAAGACAAAGGGGAAAGTAAACAGAACTGCTCAGTCTAGAAAGCATGGAGATATAAATAATAAATAGGCACTTGAAAAAGATTTAGATGAACCGCAGCGCTGTCAGTTACGGTGCTAAATACTGCTGTACGCTTTGCAGCGCTGAATGTATTACTTCCAATCTCAGAAAGGATATCTTGAGGATATTACAGCAAAGTCTGAAATGTCTAGCTACAACAGAAGCGGGTGGTTAGTAGCTTGCTCTGTGCCAGCACAGTCAGCGATACTGCGCTCTCAACAGCTGCTGCTGAGCACACCTCTTCATATTAATAGCGAACTGCCCAATAAGAGTACTCAAACTATAAAACTTGAATCCAATTACACTGAAGTATTTTCACCCTAATCAAGCTTTAGAAAACGTAATTACTCGAAGGACAGCATCTCATACAGAGAATGAAAAGAAATAAGCAAACCTTTCCCGCTTATTTCAGGGCGTTCTAATGCGTTTAACACCCAGGAAGTCAAAGGTCTTCCTTCTCTCGCTTCATCAACGGATGCTTACGAGAGAAGCTGCGTTTCTCTTCAGAGCAGGGGATTACCCACGCAAAAGAGCGGCACGCAGACTGTGGGCTCTCAGAAGAGCCTTAGGGTCTCAGAGCAAAAGACCACGTCCTGGGTGAGAATATGTATGAGAGGGGGGAATGGAAAAGTGGGGCTCAAAGCTCAAGCATTGGAAAGAGCAAGCAGTAAGCAGAATGGTCTTCCAAGCGTGCTGGACTCGAACTGAGATGGAAATTACTGATATAAAGTGTTAGCAATGGCATTTTTTTTATGGCTCTTCTTTTTTCCCCCCTCAGAAAAAAGAACATCAGAAACAGCACATCATAAGTGCTAATTGTAACTATATTACTGATTTTGGGGGTTGAGTATTGCAAAATTGTCAATTTGGTCTTCCTATACTCATTTTATATAATTTGTGCTAGCTTTATCCCTAGTCAAGGAGAAATTTGAAGGGGAACATGTCACTTTGGGAATATTTTACCAACATGGAAAGGGGACTGAACTGCTATTTCCAGCACAAGTTATAAAACATACACATTCCCCATTGGTTTCTACAGGCTGTCATTTTAACATCAGCATACTTTAAGGTCTATGCCACTGCAACCTGTGAGTTGTTTTTTTAATTCTGTTTTATCCTTTTTTTATTTTTTATTTCTGGCTGCAACAGAGCCACTGAATTTACAAGTCATATGTATCCAACTGACAAAAAGAAATAAAAACATGAACAGTTACTTTGCGCCACTATTGTAATCAGAAAGTGAAATCCCCTGATTCTTTACTTGCTATCATAGACATTTTATTTTAACACATGATGTTGGCATATAAACACCACCTTGTTAAATGACAAGCAATCAAAAACAGAAATGCAACATAGAATTACTACCTGCAAACTGTCTTTCCACATCTTAGTGCCCTAAAGAAATATGAGTTCTGTAGTGCTTTCTTTCATCTTGAAAGACTAGCAGTACTGTGGGTTAAAGTTAACATATCTTGCTTTCATTTGCAATTGCTCTCCTTGATAGAATATGTTTTTCCACATTTATGCTTCCACAGCAGAATGGCTGAAAAAGTGCATTACAAGGAATTCTTCCATCTGCACAACGGCTGCCCTCGGTGACCCTGGTATCGTTAATGGCTTGCCTCGAGCGTGAGGGATATGCTGAACTGGTTCCCCAAAATGCAGAAATCCAATTAGAACAAATATATGCTATTGTTTCGGCACACTCAGTGTAGCAAACTGCAGTAGTTAGAATCAGGCTGGTAATCCCCAAAACTGTCATAGGACACACCAGCAAAGTCATTAAAAGGAGAGAGATTTGTTTTATAACAAGCCCTGAGAATCCTGGGCCTCCTCAAGCAAACGTACTCCTCCTTCAGTCCTTCGTGAAAGCGCGTGGAAGAGATCTAGCAGCTACGCAGCAGGTAGTCAGCAAAGGATGGTTCACTGCCACGAGGCTACAACCATAAAACCTCTGTCTGGATACGTGACAATTATCTGCTGAACAAGCAGCTGTTCTGTCTTTAAAAATCTTGGCTTTGCTGCCTAACCAATGTTTCTGGTTTGTGGCTGAAAAATGGAAACAACCTTCTCACCTCAACAGCCTACCGCACTAGCAAAACTGGAGAACTGGATGTCTATTATGCTGCTGTAGTCCTACTTTGCAAGTGGCGTTTCATCCTTTTGAAAGAGCTTAAGCGACACTTCTCTGCAACAAATTAAGACTTGTTCACCCTTTCTTGGGGTCAGCCCATTTACAAATCAAGCACAATTCACTTTTCTGCAGAGAACTATTAGCAGAGGTATTCTACAGATGCGTATCTTTTTTTAGATGAGGGCAAAGTCTTCAGTGGATTAAGCTTTACTACTGAGTTACAAGACTTGCGCTCAACAGGCTTTTTCTAAAGAAATGCTGTAATAGCCCAGCATGCCGTCTAGCTCATTCCCGGCAACGAGGCACACTAAAATGTTTTAAGATGAGGAAAAGTTTTAAAAGTACATACTGAAAAATGAAATATCCACCTTCAGTTCTACAACTGATGCTGCTTCTATTCTTATTTGAATGTCAACAAAAAATGGATTTCCATCTTAAGTTCACCATTTTTATCTGGATTCTGGCTGCTGTGTTCCTCCTCATGGAAAGTTAAGGTAGAAATCTATAGGCCAGAAGTATTGCCAAGTCAAAGTCCTTGTTCTTCTAACGCTCATTAAAACCTGTTAGAGTAGAGTGGGCTCAAGAAGGGACAGAAAGACAGCAATGCTGCATTTCAGTAAAGATTCCCTGAAAATAAACAGCAAAAAAGCTGAAGAGGTGCTGAGGTACCCCCTCCCCCTCCTCAGTAAACATACTGGTCAGCTACAGGTGTGAGTTACACAGTGAGATAGGATGAATTATTATGGAGTGTAAGATTCAAACTGGGTTTTCAGCAGGGAACTGCTCCTACTAGGGTTTCAACCAGGGAGCTTCACCTGCAGATGTCCAGAATTCGAGAAATTCCATTCTTGCTCAGTAGCAACACAACTGAGGGTTTTTCCATGCTACAAAGGCGCAAGAGTAGCTATGTTGGTGTCCCCTGCTTAGCTCGCATACTTCTACCAGCATAATTGTGACAAAAGGCACAATTTGCACCAAACTTTTTTGGACAACGAGTGAAAAATAGCATGCACCTGTGAAACAATATTCTGAGCTGATTCACGTTCCCTTGCAAATATTCTCATGCTCTCCCAGATACCTAACTCTAAGGCACTTTTATGGCCACGTCTCACAAGTTTTATACATTAGAATTTACTGCTACAGTTCTTGGTAACCACTAAAAACTCCAAACTACTACGGACAATTCCTAGCATTAGATATCTAGCTTTCAAACTGTTTTTCCACTAAATTACACAGTCCTAAAATAGGTCATATTCGGGGGGGGATGTGTCTGCTAAATATCTTGCTGGCAGAAGAACAAGAACTTTTACATCTTGAGACTCATCTTAGGGATTTAAAGTTAACACACAATATAATGAGCATGCAATCTATTAATCAGTTTTTTGGAATCTGGCAGACTCTTCTGAACAGGTCCATATACAAAGTAAACCCTAGTTCAGAATATGCTGGTGCCTAGCAAAGGCAGCAGAGCAGAAGCAAAGACAAGTAATGTTTACCTTTGAGAGATCGGCCATGACTCTGCTTAAGTACTGAAGTTAGGTAGTGAGGCGATGACGACCTACTGGAAAGAAATTCAACAAGTCAAAGCCAAATCCAAATGAGCCAAATAATTTGTGCAAAGTATATTAAGCTTAATAATATATCACATAGAGATTAAAAAAAAAAAGCAAATCAAAAAACAAACAAACAAAAACAGCCCTCCAAAGTTTAGCGGGCAAGCCAAGCAAGTAGCAATTTCTATTGCCTTCAGTAGATGGCTTGGCCCATCGCTTCCTGTGCTACAGAATCCTATCAATCAATCACTTGGAAAGCATTTACAAGCATTTGGAAAGCACCCTGCTGAGGAAAAGTCTTGCTGGTAAGAGACAGTCATTTCTACAAATTTTACGTACTTGCTTAAAAACTAGATTTGAAACAAAGATACTTTTTTTTTTTTTTGGTAAATAAAACCTAGATGTGAACAAAACGTTAGCCTGCGTAGAGCTCTTTGGAGCCCAGAAGCAACAGAATGAATATGGACCAGGTGTGCGTGTTGCTATTTCAGAACACTGCTGAAAGATTAACAAGAACAAAACAAAACAAACAAAAAAAAAACAAAAACAGGGAAGCTTGGACAAATCCTGGACCCAGTTACTGCACTGGACAACTCAGTCCAGTGTAGTTTCAAAGGAGCAAAAATTCTGCTTTTCTCCTGTTCAGAGCAGCGCGGAGACCTGTGCAGTGGCCAAGTAGTGAAACTAATACCTGCAAAAAACTAGTATGAATGGAAATCAAGAGGAAAGACGTGAAAGATGACCAGCCCTACTTATTATAGACAGGAGTCAGTTTCTATCTGTTGACAAGCAGGTGATTTTAAAATTATCTGAAGCTGGGCTGTTTTGCTGATGCTGTCTGCTTTTCTGCATTATCAAAGCCAGCTTTGCATCCAGCAAAGTACCACTTAATGTATTACAGAATAAAGTGCAAATTGAAAATCTCAGTTTCTTGCTGTATATCCAGCACTAATTTATTCCTTTCATTCTAATGTACTAGCAAACTGTTGGAAATAAGTACAACAGAAATAGTACGCAACTGTTTAAATCGCAGGATACAGCAATATACATCTTTTACAGCACAGTTAGGAGAATTTAAGAAGACGACGAACAGACATTTCAAGTCCGATCTGTAACAGCTACCTCACAGGGTTAATGGGGGAATTTCTATGACAGTGCGCTCACCTTTTATATTTATCATACTTAGGCAGCTCTATTTTCTGAAATAAGGCACAGCCTCAAATCACCCAAAATATCATAAAGCTGCTAAGTGCTTAGTATGTTTTAAAAATTATTATTCATCAAGGAATACATAAAAGTGACCTACAACCCAAACAATTACTTCAATTTTTTAAATTTTAAAACTAAAATCTTCATGCTTTAAACTGAATTTTGAATAAAATATTTTTCACTGGTCACTGGCCTCCTGCTGTGGCCGTGACCATCTTTACAACCCAGAAATCCGCTACTCTGCACAGCTGTGTATGAGGGGTGCCCATTTAATACCCTTACTATTTTGACTTGCTATGGAATTATCAAAACTCAGCTTGCCACCGGCAACAGTTTCCAAGCTCAGTGCAGTGCAAGACTGCTTGCTAATGGCAAGGAGAAGCAAGACGCATCGCCTGAGTTACGCAAGGAGCGCTCGCAGACCTGCAGCCTGCCTGGCTCTAGTAACCAACGCTACTGAAAAGGAGAGGAATATTTAGCATCTCCCAGCGTGATAACCAAAGCGAAAAAGACCCAGCATAGTTGAATACAAACATGTGCAAAACTAGTTCACTGCGTAGTACGTTTGCTTGTGGGGGTGATGGAGGCACCTTGCCCTTGTGGGGGGCAAGGGGAACAGATTCCAAACTACAAAAGATTCACAAGCAAAGCAATGGACTGCAGCCTGCAGGTAAACTGTAGAAATAGGTGCTAAATATGTTACACTTCTCCATCTCCAATTCATCCTTTCACTTCAGCTCAGATCCTTCAAGAACCACACACACATACAATTTTATTATAGTAACTTAACACTTAGTATTAAAATAAGCTATGCATATGCATAAGGTATTTGCAGGAGTCAGACCATGGCAGCCTCCATAGCCCAGGGATATAGCACACGTACATGAAACTGAATGCACCTTCTGGCCTTGCACCTACTTGTTTAACAAGTTTCACAGATACTTGTGAATAATATAAAATAAAATGCACCAGTGACACCAGTCACAGAATCACAGAATGGTGGAGGTTGGAAGGGACCTCCTCTGGAGAGCACCTGGTCCAACACCCCTGCTCCAGCAGGGTCACCTACAGCAGGCTGCCCAGGACCGCAGCCACTCGGCCTGTGAGTATCTCCCATCTGTCATAATAAAAGTTTTCATTTAACTACTGACAGACTACAGTTTTGGAAAGCTTCTAACCAAAATAACCTCTTAAATTTTATTTGAAAATGCTGCTGAATGATAGGTATATTCCCCACAAACATACTGTAAAACCATTACCAACTCAAGCCCTCCCACAGAAAAATTCAGAGTGTCTCACAGCTGAATTCTACCATCACCCTGTAGTTAAATTTGAACAGTCCCTCCCAGCCTCCCTCCAGCTGTACCTCTGGGCTTTCTCTTTCTCTCAACACGGCCTCAGACAAGGCAGCCCCTTAGGGGCCCTTCTCCACGAAGGTTTTTTGGAGAACGAGCCTTTTGGCAGCCCTCCGTTCCCTTCGACGGCCCCTCAGCAGCCCCCCATCGCAGCTCCCGGTTGGCCATCTCTCTCCTTCGACCTCGTACTCCATTCAGGATATCGGACATTGCTCAAAGCAGGTAATTTTACTATCAACCCTTAGTTTTAATTTGGAAGGACCTTTCCAGCCTCACTCCAACTGTACCTCTGGCTCTTCCCTTTCTCTCAGGCCGAACCCTAACCCGCTAGGACAAGTGTCAATTTACCTCTCTTGCTTGTATGGGTGGTGTACAACGAGGGCTCTATATACTTCCCCTAGTGACTAGTATAAATATATCCTTCACTAATAAAGTATATAGTAATAATTACTACTAAACTCTTCCTTTCCTGTACGGTTGCTGGAACATACATATTCAGCAAACCCGGACTCTCCTTCTAGACAGTATTTACATCTTAATCCAAGAATTTTTAAATATGGACGGGAGAAAATACGTCCTTTTGTATGTGAGTGAAAGTCCTAGAAATGCATTTCTATTATTAAAAGGAAAAAAAAAAAAGCATTCATTAGAAGTGTCTTAAAACGCTGTTATTATTTTACTGTTCTTACAAACACAGGCACTGCAAAATCCTTCACGTATCGAACTTTACGGGAACGTTGCCATGTGGCTCCATTAGGAGCACAATTTTCTTGTGACTGCAATTGTTGGCAAGTGTGACTAATCTCTCAGTGAAGAAGAAAGTTACTGAAAATGACATCGTTTCAAAATGAAGTCCTGATCTTGAAAGTACTTTAGCATTCAAGTAAAAATCTCTCCTCCGTCCCTACACCTAACTTCAGTATATACTATTTATACAAATTAGGTTAATCATACTTCAACGTTTAAACCACTGGACTTATCTTCAAGAACTTGGGGATATTCTAAACTTAACCTGACACGGATCTGAACAAGCTGCCCCATGCTGAATCTGATTTGTGCCCCCTGCTCATCTGGTTGGACAGATGACTTCCGAGGATCCTTTCCATCTATGTTATTCTGAAATTCTAAGTTCAAAGTTTTATCACAGTAACATATACGCACAATCTTCTGAGTAAAGCTTTTCAGGACCAAACCTGCACCTGATTTACACCAAAAGAGAAGTTCATGCCTTTATGCAGGAACACTAATGCTTGTAAAACCATAAATAGAGTCCAATTACAGTAGTTTCAAACACCTTTCTCCCCATAATACAAAGCCTGAAAATGCTACTAGCCATATCATACTTTCAGATTTGACTATTTCTTAATACTTAAATGCTTCACAGTTATCTTAACAATGCTTCCATTCCAATAGGAAACTGGAATGCAAGACAATTCTGCCTTGGCTCTTTCAAACCTAAGAATGACCATTTACAGCCTAAGATGGCTAGAAGGTCAGAGACCACCTTTAACAACTTGCAGGTCACAAAGTGCAACCGTGAGAGACCATGCAAACCTTTATTCACTGCCAGATATCTAAGGCTTGCAGTGGCCTGTCAAATCCGTGGGTCAAATGTCCTGTTGGACTCCTACAAATTTCTGCTGCGTATTTACTATGAGTTTTACATCCTGCTCCAGTAATCCTAGTTCCTCCTCTGGTTGTTAAGCAAGCTCCTTGCAGTAAGATAAGGCATACAGCAACGTATACACATCTTAATTATCTGTTATCTCACCCAAGTTCTTTGCCAAAATAGACAAACTAGCTATGTGCCTACCTGATTACTGATCTCATCAACAGCAATCTTTTCCTCTTTGCTTTCTCTCTCCTCCTACTCTCTGTGCCATCTCTATTACTTATTTAGCTGATGTGCCTTCTCCTGTATATAAGAATGCATCAAGTTTACTTAAAACTCCAAAATCTATTGCCTAATCTTAAAATGTATCAGCTGAGGAAGCCTTGATTCCAGACGGCTAGCGTACTCCACCTCAGAGTACATCTGTTATGAACATCATTCTCCCCATCACCACGGTAAAACGCAAAACTTTTTTTTTTTTTTTAATAGCCTTAAAGAAAAATACCTGTTCTCTGGGGCTTTTCTCTAAGCACATCAGAACAGAGGAAAGGAGATTTTATATGTATATATGTATAGATAAAATAAATAAAATGACTTACAGGAAAACACACACATCTTGTAAGCTAGCAGCCCCAGATATCCAAGATTAGGCTTGGTGAACTGTGCCTGAATCAGGATTTTACTCCCTGTTACCAGGACTGCCTGCTCACCAACGAAATGGCACTCACTAGTGCCCAACACAGCGCCTGACCCCACTAGTCACCTCTCAGAGTTCAGTGAGAAAAGCAGCATCTGTTCCCAAAGACCCTAAACAAAGGCAGTGTAAGACTTAACACTATATGCTCTTGTCTGGGCTACTCGCAGCCAGGACCCCTGGCAAGACACGACGAGGAAGGAAAAAGGAGGTAGAAGGGAAAATACAGAATATTTAAGAGAAAGCCACCCCACTGGTTTCTCACCCCTGCAAAAACACAGAAAATTAACAAGACCCAGAAGCAAAGAAAAGGTTAAAAAAAAAAAATGAAATAAAATATAAAAGCTTACTCATTGTTTGCTTCAGAAAGAGGAAGAAAATCTGCTCCTGCCCCCCATGGTTGTGAAATCAAGTGCCCCCTCTTCTTTCCTGTCTTAAACTCTCCCACAGTTATAAAAAAAGATAGTAGATCTGGGATTAGTATCACAATCTGGGACTTTTAAGATCATTAAATTCTCCCTGTCCGGTCTGTCCAGTCTCCCCGTCTGTCTATCCAGTTCAGCTAAGTCCTACTCAGCTACTTCTCTCTGGCAGAGAGCAGTAAGACATCCACCTGGGCATTTCCTCTGCTAGGTACATTAACATAACCTGATGCTGTACTTGTCAGAGAAAATTCACCTACCTTGGCGGTGATGCTGGTGGAGTATAAAATGCAAGTGCCGAGGGAAAAGGTTGCTTTTTCAGTGCTTGTACAAGAGTAGGCTTATATTCTGGATCAACGCACCACAACGAACCTTTTCCGTTCACCTACAAGAAAGAAGTACTGCAAATTAGAAAATCCAAGGGCAAAGTTATTACAGTCATTTCTAATTGAATATTCCCAAGACACAGCAAAGTGTAATTCTCCCTCCTTCTCCCTTCAGATGAAGGCATCCACCAACAGTGAGGCTAGGCTCTTTGCAAAGGTGACCTAAGTCACCCTCAGGTAGCTCCATTAACTATAGGGAAAGCTGACACTCCTGAGACCTTTCTTAAATGGTACAGAAACATCTGCCCTACAGCTCGGAATAACATTTCCACACTAAAGCCCCGTTGTCATTTACGGAAGCATACACGGAAGCTGTAAATCTTACTTAACACTTGGTAAATACATCTGTAAGTTAAAACAAGCGTTTGTGAAGGCATCAGTGAATTGGTAAGTAGTCTTCTGATTAACAGGTCTATGAAACTAACTTAGGAACTAACGCCCTTTCCCTTAGCCTAGATATGGCCACGTACTCCCTTAACTTTAACAACACAACATCCTGTAAAAGCAGCTTGTCCGATGCCCAACTAGAGGATTGGATTACTGTACTCCCACGCTTACAAAATCTGAAAACCTACTTTATGCATCTTTGACGCACCTAACAATGTTAGCACCATTAAATTTGACGTGCCAGAAAGTCAAGCAAGATAAAGTATCTGCTGCTCGTCTCAAGGGCTTCTTCACCTATTTACTATATAAAGAAAACGTTATTTTTCAAGCCAGTTATTTCATTGCAAGATAGAAGAGGAAAATTAGAGAAAGTCAAAGCCAACCAAAAATCACTGACCTGATAGATCACCTACTAGCTCCATGTGTAGCACTCTCAGGTTTTGCTACGGAAACATGTTACAGAAGTGATAATGCATGTGGCAGAAAATCGTACACCTGAATGGCAAGATACTTCTATAGGATTTTTTTTTTTTAAAAAAAAGCTAAGCAAGAGTAGAAAATATAAAAAAAAGGTAATACCAGAGGGCTATTCTCACAGGCAGGGTACACTATGCTGCAACTAAAATATCTCTAAATAATAAGAGAAGATACAGAAGCAGTCCTATCAAGATACAGAGGAAAAGTCTCAGAGCAAAGATCAAAACTTCATGGACCACCTGCTTCAAGTCTGCAGAGGCCAAGTGGCCTCCTCTAGCCAGTAACAAGGGGGAATACAATATTATGGATGGGTATTCCGTGATGTATTTAAGACTTAAAACAACCCACAAAGCGTGCAAGTCTGAGGTCTGCTTTAAGTCGCTGGCTTTCTCATGAGAAGAGTAAATATTTTGCTATTAATATAATAGAGTGCAAATTTTCACTATCAAACGAGGGAGAGTTCCAGTTCAGAAAGAGAGAGAGGGGGATGCTGCCCTGTAATTTTACTGGTAGCCATTGTCCTTTATACAGGAGTCTCTGAGCAGCACCATCTCTCTCAGAGTTATCTTTCTATTTTTTATCTCTGAATTTTCTCATACTCATCTTTTTATGCTAAAACGGAGCATAGCCTTACAAGTGTAAGCTGTGCAGCAATAAGCTTACCTTTAATTAAATATCTGATTTCTTTCACTGTCGTGGCTCACAGGATAATTTAAGCGGTTAGGTACTAACGGAGGGTATATTGTCAGTTGGCTCCATCCATCACCTGAACAACAGACTAATGCCCTGAACTCTTTTCTGCATCCCTCCTGGAGCTCGCTGGCCTACTGGTTCATTACTTTTCCTCCAAAAAACATCCTGCCCACCTCTAGCTTTTTACTTTGAGCCCTCGCAGGTTCACAGAGCAGACAGGACTCACCTGATCACTACACCACTACTCTATACTATATTATCTGCTGTTCACTTGACAGCTAATCCAATTTAAGTGTGGGCTGCAGCCAGAAAGGCGTTAGTTGCCCGCTTTCATTTTCCCAGCCACATACCTCCATCAGCTTGCTGACCTGACAGAAAACGAACACAAAAAATGTTGGTGGGTACCGCAACAGTGAGCTAAACCAGCACACCCTGAAGCCATACATACAATCAATCCAACGCAAGACATAAACAGAGCGACTTCTTTGGTAGCTAGATTGGACTAGGGAGTATGAAGTCACACATCAGTTAGAGGTGGACTTCCATGCACCCTTATTGGTGCTGAAAGCAGATATTCAGCAAAAGTGATGATCCTGTGCAGCTGCTCACGAATAAATACACTGTTGCACTCAGATCCACTAATTAACAAAAATAAAGAGTGGAAAGCCAACACAGATTTCTAGTTAGCGTTTTCGGAGAAAGCTGTGCACAGCTGAAGTGGAAAATCCAATAAAACACCAGTACCTCTCGCTTTAAAACAAACTAGCCAGGTTACTGGAAGCAGTCGAACCACAGCAGCCAGTTTACCGTGCTTCTGTATGGGACCAAGATTGTGTATGGGTCAGGCCATGGTAGCCTGTGTTATTAAAGACAAATTAAACTCTGCCATTTCTGCCAGCAAAGAAAGACTAGGTGATGGGAATCTTAAACTGCCTTTGGAGGTTACTATTTCACATCAATAGTGGAGTAACTTCCCACCTGCTGATGATATACTTGTTGAAATGCTGATGCAATGTTTATTTAACGTCTCCCAAAATGACCAACCATCAGACTATATTGAATCTGGACCTCAGAATGAACTGACAGTTTACCTAAATTGTTCTGAGACTTTGTGTGTTATGATTATCATCTTTTCTGCATCCCTCTCACATTTGACTTGCAATATTTTATCTAGCTGGATAAAGAAAATGAGAAAGGGAAAAAATCCCACAGTTTTAAATGTTGGACTGTTTCATAATGACAGTAATTTCCTGTCTCCAGCATTTTTCAGTGTTGCATTATGACAACTTGGGTTGGAAACAAGATGCCTCCCACGGTCCTTTTACATTTTTTCTTTCTTCTTTTCTTTTTTTAAGTTAGGAAGGGATGTCACTGATAAGATATTGCTCAGCTCTCTTTGGTCACGCAGGTTCTCCCTTCCACCTGAAAATTCACACCTTAATCTACACTTGCTGCTACTGGACAGTAGCTTAATCCCTTCTGAAGAGAAGGCCAGTCCCTGTGCCATACCTCTTCATATTTGCAAAAAGATGGCCTGGGAGAAGCAATCCCCTCCCTACAGGTACATCGCAGATAGGCGTAGGTTTGTGCCGTCAGCTGGAGCAGTCGGAGAAGCCGCCGCACCCAGCTGCTCCTCTTTATCTGGGTGTGCAGGAATGGTGTGAGTGTTGCTGGTCCGTTTTGCAGAAAAACAAACAAATTAGACTAAACCAATTCTAAAGGCAGCTTTGGTTACTCTTGTTTCATAATTTTTACTCTGTTTTTATGTTTTTTATTACTCCGAAATAATAATCAAGGGCACTCCCAAAGTTACTGCCTCTAATTCCACACACTGGAGCACATTCATCTACCTCCTACATAAGGGGTTAAGATAAGGCGAGACAGTCGCTTGCAGTAAAGGAACCACCACATAGTGACTACGCACAATGTTTTCGCACCCTGTAGCACACATCAGTAATGGTCTGAACGGGGAAGGCAGGGGCCTGGCTAAGATTAGTCTGCGGAGTGAAGAACAGCATATCTGCCTACATGCTCTGCTTCATACACTAAACTCTCCTCTTTTTCTTCTGCAAGGCTGGTGTACTCAAAATAAAGTTGTGAAAGCAGCTTTCTAGTCCTTCCTCCTCCCTCCCACGCCGTTGCATAGGGAAGAGGAGGGAAACCCCTCGCTAGCAGCCCCGGAGAGCTCCGCCGCCTCCTTCTCTTCCTCCGTTGACCCCAGCCCTCCCACGGGAATCCTGCAGGGTTATTTCCCACAGTCAACAGCTGCACCTGCACAGATTTTTTTTTTCCCCCTCCTTTAATCTGCCACCCCCGACTCCCAGTGGTGCGGGAACGGTATGGCCAGACAGAGACAGCGAAGGCATGCAGGCCTGGCCTGCGTTTCCCCTCCCACGAGCGAGGCCGACCCGCGAGCGCGGCTGCCCACGACTGCCCA